GTGCAATTTCTCAAGGAGCAATTTCCCTGATGATCTATAGAAAGGAAGAGGGGCCCATTGCTTCTTTCCACAAAGAAATTCATTTTCAGATTGCGTTCTAGCATCTGGAAACCTGCTCTCAGACTCGCTATTAATTTTAATGCAGAAATATATATGCCATCTCACRCAGTAAATAATCAAGAGTGTATAGGATCGTGTGAAACAACACAAACATTTTAATGAGATAGATTTGCAGTTTCTTTTTACAAGGTTTCAAGAGGACATTGATGAACTAAATATGTGACTTCTTCACTTAGATGTGCGGAAGAGCTCTTGGGCAATTGAAAGGCTGGTCTGAAGTCACCTAAAAGCTTGAGCAAAAGTTTTTGGATCCCTTTCAAAGAACAAAAATAATAAAAGGACTTGTTCTGCTATGCTTGATGATGCATCCAAGAGTGAATGTCCTTTATTGCTGCTGCTTTCTTCTCACAGTCAGAACAAGCAAGGTAATGGAGGGAAAAGGCACAAAGTACCTGCACTTGGCCTCCGTATATTCCACACTCATTTGTGGAAATAAAGAAAGTGGCCCAGACAGGCAACAACTGTGCCTCACAAACCCAAGGGTAGCACTTTTAATGTACAAGCATCTCTCACAAAYGTTATTTTTTTGGAAACTCAGTCAGTTCATTCAAAGCCCTTGGCCTTTGCAGATGGTAAAAGTGGACTGACAGATGGGTAGATTGCTAAGCAGATGTGAGGAGTGTCTCTGTAGTGGGAACAAGAAGAGGTGTCTATGAGAGGAGAGTCCCTGCCTGGCTAAGCTTATGAGGTCAAAACTGCACCAAAATTCAGCTTTAAATTTTTGAAAAGCCCTTTGAGAGCCATGGCTGAAAGTTCAAAATAGTGGTAGCTGTGCTTCTGTCTACTCTCCTGTGCATATTTACATCTACATTTTCTTCTCRGTGAAAAAGAAATGTGTGATAATTCAAGAATTTTGTAGGATTCAGCTTCAAGTTCAGCCCAAATTCAGCCCTGGCATTAAATATTTGCTACATTATTTAAAGCTGATTTCACCTATTACATGAGGTAAAATGTGTCCCCATCTTTCTGCTAGCAGGTGAGACACCAGATAAAATGTAGTGCCACTTACTAAAGCCGTAAAATCCATTTGACAAATGGAGCTTTGTAAACACATGGGAGTTTTACCCCAAACATTTACCCCATACCTGGCTACCTCTTAGGTTTCTTTCACAGGTGTCTTTTGTGATACAGCAGGTTTGCAAGTGGACACTGGTCAAGCAGAGGGTGAGGTTAATAAAGAAGCAGTAATCAGTGGCTCAAGGCAATGCAGTTAAAGTCCATTAAGTCAGGAAAATGGCAAACTGCAGGAGATGWAGAATGGATTGCTAAACGTTTCAAACATCTTTTTGCACCAGCTGCACAGAGATATCTGAAATGTCAGTGCTGGTTAGTTCACCATCTGGGCATCGCTACTCTTTCTTCCCCTCCTCCTTCCTTTATTTTAAGGATTCCTTATGCTGCCAGAAGAAAAAGAACTCATATATTTTCAGTATGTTATTGGAAAGCTCAGTTTTGAAGTGCTTTTTTGGTTCCCAGTCATGCTATGTAAAGCATCATTTAATAATACTTAACATTTACTCAGCCTACTTATTAATCATTGAAGACTACCCAACTATCAAAATAAACCATAGCTGACTGAAATTAAGTAATCACACGTTAAAATTACATGGCAATATTGCTCAGCTTTCAGAACAGATGGAAGAATTCAAGCAGTGAATTTTGATATAGTTCATTTCAGCAACTTTAAAATTTTATTGCAATTTAATTTTCAGAAATTCTCTAAGATAGCCCATGAGTTACACGATACACTGCACTTAGGTTGAATGGTATCTTTTATTTTTATATTCTCCTGTGACTTCCATGGATCCGAACTCAGATAAAAAGCTAAAACAAACAGCTTAAATGAAAGTGGTTATTAGAGAAAAAGTGGAGATTTCCCCGGATCTCCTGTACATCCAACACAGGCTCATCTTCCACATGTGTATGTGGCACCCAAACGGGTAAAGCAGTGTTTGGTCTGTACTTTTTCTATAGGCTAARCTCTACCCTGAATTATTATTGCCTGCTGTACCTTCATAGAACAAAGCTTTCAGTAAAGAAGAAACAAAAACTAGATGTTTTATGTGAGAGATGTCCACCGGTTTTGATCTTCTTTTTCCTGCAACTACTTAAAATTAGGACCAATTTGGATGGCCTGCCTCTCGTTAAAATGATTTGTGTAAGAAACTGTACGAAGAAGATGAAAAGTCTTAAAACACTGACTCCACAAATACAAGCAGTGCTCAGTAGTCCTGGAAAGATAAACAATTCCAAAGTAAATGTAACCATATTAATGAATGTTGTGAAGCTGGGCACTAATTCTGCCGATTGATACGCAGCAACGTGAGGTATTTGGACTGCGGGAGATGCTGAGAGCTGCTCTGAGAGCATCATGCATAAGAACCTGACATAAACTGCAAGAGCACCCTCCACTCGAGAGGTAATAAATCCAAAAACACACAAGCAAACACGAGCTGCACACGTGCGCTTCCCATTCAAAGAAGCACTACACTGTTTGGGCAATTCTTCTAGCCAGTAATTCAGATTTATAAGCTGCATCTCAAGAAATAGCTGTATTAATGCTTAGATGATTAGATTACTTGTTGGTGGTTGTACTATAGTCAAGAACCTGGATGAGATATATAGAAATAGGTAATGGTATGAGAAGGGAGGAGATATAAGGAAAAAGCCCTTCACCTTTCAGTGGTGAATCCCTGGAAGAAGTGTCCAGGGAGGTTGTGGAGGCCATGGAGATATTCAGACATACTAACCAAGATCCTCAGAAAAATGGTGTAATTTTGAACATGGCCCTGCTTTGAGCAGGTGAAGGGACCAGACTGATGCCACCACTCCAACCTCCACAGACCCTTTCTGAACAAWTTTGCTTTTTCTGAGCTCCAGTGTTTCAGAAGTCCTTGGAAGCAATGACTTAGTTTGTTTACTGCGATACACAGTGTCCACAGGTTGTCTTGATAATAGTATTTAGCCTTCAGGATGTGGACCAAGGTGGAAATAATGAATACTGACATTCTAATTCTCTGTAAATGTGTCTACCTTTTAATGCGGCACGACCTACGTACTTTGTTCATTTGGACTGTCCAAGGCAGTAAACACATTTCCTTCTAATGAATTTTTCAAAATGATGTCTAAATGGTTTGCATTCTGTTCCCATAAATGAAAGATGTAATTTTATTTCTACATTCTTTGGAGCAGCAGTTATAGAACAAACATGTTCTTCCAGACTTGGGTACCTTTCGGCTTCTGTCGTTAATACCAGAAAAATCATTTTGTTGCTGATGGGATCTACCTGCCGGGTCTATTAGTTTGATATTGGGTAGGGAGACATGAAATGAACAGTTGTGCTTTGTTTCAACTGAAGTATGTTTTAGGGAAGAGGCATATTGGCTGCTGTCTGACCTTGAAATTCAGAGGGTGAGATGAAGAAGAAAAAAGGTATTTCTTATGCCCAGACCATTGGTTCTTTTCTCTTTTGATCTTGGGGTTCCTTAGAGAACAGCACAGATCCCCTCAGTGGCAAAGAGATTGCTCACTCTAGAGCATATATTCTGCTGGGAGGATAAAAGTGAAACAGGTGTTTTCACAGTAATTTCCAGCGCTGTTTCTAAACATTTACATTCAGCAGTACAGGAAGCTCACAGCAAGGTTCAGAGCTGCTCTAGCAAGTGCTGTACAAACACCAATCCTGCAGCCTTCCTCCTACCAACACGTTATAGGTACCATTCCAAACAGAAAACCGTATTGATAAAGAGGGGGAAAGAAGCCATGAGAAATGAGGATGAGTGTGTGGGGAGCAGCAGCTGGCCCAGCCGCATACATGGTTGCCCCACACCGGGCTGCCCCCTGCCTGCTTGTGGACGGTTCCCTTCCCTCCTAGCGGATGGTCCGTTCCCTGCTAACTGACGGTCCCTTTTCCCTAATGGAGGATTCCTTTCCCTCCAAAATTCGGTCCCTTCTTCCTAACGGACGGTCCCTTCCCCCTAACAGACGGTTTCCTTCCCTCCAGAACTCGGTCCCTTGCCCCTAACGGACGCTCCCCTTCTCCCTAACGGACGCTCCCCTTGCCTCTAACGGCCCCCCCCCCCGCCTTCTCCCTAACTGTCGGTCCCTTCTCCCTAACGGCCGATCCCCTTCTCCCTGACGGGCGCTCCCCTTCTCCCTAACGGTCGGTCCCTTGCCCCTAACGGCCGCTCCCCTTCCCCGCAGCGACCGTTCCCCCCCCGCTCCCGCGGCTGCCCCCGAGCGGGCTGCGCGCTCCCCGCCTCCCGCTGCCCCGGGCCGTTGCCGCCCGGTAACGGCCGGTGCCCCCCGCAACGGCCGCTCCTCCCCGCTGAGGGACCGTCCCTCCCCGCTGCCCCG